TGTGTCTGTGTCTGTGTCTGTGTCTGTGTCTGTGTCTGTGTCTGTGTGTATACGTTTTTGGAGTCCAGAGACTTTGGCTCCTCTAGAGCTATAGTCACAGGCAGTTCAGACATGGGTGATGGCAATTGAACTCAGGTCCTTAACTGCTGAGTCATCTCCCCTGCATCAAGCACCATGTCAAACTTTAGTACTGTTTGGACATGGTGGTATGCACTTGGAATCCCAGTACCCAGGGAGCTAACTAAAGCACAGGGAGTGCTGAGCTTCAGGCCAGCTTAGGCGGGTACTAACATTTCTTTTGGTTTGGGAATACCAAAAATGAAAGTCAATATGCAAACTCTATTGTTCTTTTATGTGTGTGTATGTTTTTTTTTTGTATAGGTTCGAGAAAGTGACCCCAGTGACCCAAACAAAGACATGGTAGTCCAGCTAATTGATGACTTCAAGATCTCAGGCATGAATGGGATACGTATCCTTTACTGTGTGATCTCTGAAGTAGAACACAGTTATTTGTGTGTGTTGGGGGGTTGTCACTTTTTAAAATACAGGATTATTTAAGGTGCCTGTAAACTTTGAATTGCTGCAGTCTTCTGTGTGTATAAGGTCTCTAGGGTCACTGTAAAGTTAGTTAAACAAGCAGCTCTCCTGGTCTGGCTGTATAGGGCTTTGGCTTGTTCTTTTTCTTATTTTTTTTTTCCTTTTTTTCCTTTCTCTTCCTTTTTTTTTTTTTTAAACTCTTTTAGATGTATTAGTATCTTAGAAATGTAAAAAGAAATGCGGGTTTGATTTGGAATGTAGTTAACTTACTTTTTTGAGGTTAGTAGTTATTAATTATTCAAAATGAGATGGTAGCATATTTTTATACATGGATATAATGTATTGAGGTGGTATTTATTCTCCCATTACTGTCCTCATTTCTTGTTGCCCTGATTACTGTTTGCTTATTTTACTTGATTAATTTTTATTTTGGTTATAGTATTATTGATTTATTAAAAGTAATTGTAGTTGTTTTGCAATGGTAGAAGGAAAAGTATTCTAACACTACTTCTTTATAGCCCATGACTTGTGAATGTTAGTGTTGGTGAATGGCTAAGGTGTTCTGCTTCATTGAGGCGTTTATTTATTTTTGGAGCAGATCCACCATTTTTGTCATATTTATTAACCTTTTTAAACACCAGAAACCTTAATGACAGGGTTTGAGAATATAAAATCTCATATGATAAGTGTGTCAGCTTCATGCTGCAGAGATGACTGAGGAGTAAAGAGCACTGACTGCTCTTCCAGAGGTCCTGAGTTCAATTCCCAGCAACCACATGGTGGCTCACAATCATCTGTAACAGGGATCTAATACGCTGTTCTGGTGTATTTGAGGACAGCTATAGTGTACTCATATATTGCTAATATATAATAAATACATCTTTAAAAACAAAACAACCTCTCAGCTTAAGTATAAGAATGACGTCCAGTGCATCCTCAAGCTGGACTGACCCCTTCCTAAGACCCAGTGGCCTAGAAGCATTTGAGCTACTTGCTTAAATCCTTTGTAAAATGTAGAGAATACATATCGACCACATAGATGATTTGTACCTCGGAGTTTTTTTTGTTTTTGTTTTTTTTTAAGACAAGGCTTTTCTGTATAGCCCTGGCTGTCCTGGAACTTGTTCTGTTGACCAGGCTGGCCTTGAACTCAGAGATCCACCTGACTCTGTCTTCTGAATGTTGGGATTAAAGGTGTACACCACCACTGCCTGGCCTTCAGAGCATTTTTAAAAATGATTCTTTCTGAGCAGATTTCAGTTACGAGGTAAATTCTAATTGTTTGGTGAGTAACATTCTCAGGATTTCTAACTCAAGTGATCAGACAGAAAAAATATTTTCTAGTTATTGATACAACTGCTTTTCTGTTTTTTTTTTTTTTGACATTTTTCCCCTCCTTTTCTTTCTTTTTTTTTTTTATTGGATGTTTTATTTACATTTCCTATGTTGTCCCCTTACCCCATCCCCCACCCACCCAGGAACCCCCAATCCCCTCACCCCTCCTCCTTCTTCTCTGTGGATGTAACCTCTATCTACCCCCCCAACTCCCACCTCCCCACCCTCAAAATTCCCACCCCCTGGGGCATCCAGCCTTCATGCAGTAAAGGTTCTCTTCTTCCACCCATGCCCAGCAGGGCCCTCCACTCTTACATATTCAACTGAAGCCCTAGATCCCTCCCTAAGTGCTCCCAGGCTGGTGGTTTAGACCCTGGGAGCTGTGGTTGGCTGGTATTGTTGCTCTCCTCATGGTGCCGCAAATCCTTTCAGCTCTCCTTCAGTCTTCACTCTAACTCCTCTATTGAGAACCCCATGATCAGTTCAATGGCTAGTTGTGAGCATCTGCCTCTGAGTATGTCAGACTCTTGAAGACCTCTGAGGAGATATCCATATCAGGCTCTTATCAGCATGCACTTCCTAACTTCCACATCAGCATCTACCTTTGGTGATTGCACATGGGATAGATACTCAGGTGGAGTGGTCTTCAGACGACCCCTCCTTCAGTTTCTGTCCCTCACTTTGTCTCCATATTTGCTCCCTTGAGTATTTTGTTGCTCCTTCTAAGAAGGACCGAATCACCCCCACTTGGTCTTCCTTTTTTATGAGCTTCATGTGGCCTGTGAGTTGCATCTTGGGCATTTCAAGGTTCTGGGCTAATATCCAATAATCAGTGAGTGAATACCATGTGTGTTATTTTGTGATTGGCTTACCTCACTCAGGATGATAATTTCTAGTTCCATCCATTTACCTAGGAACCTCTCGAATTCATTGTTTTTAATAGCTGAGTAATACTCCATTGTGTAAATGTATCACATTTTTTGAATCCATTCCTCAGTTGAAGGACATCTGGGTTCTTTCCAGTTCCTGGCTATTATAAACAAGGCTGCTATGAACATAGTTGAGCATATGTCCTTGTTATATGTTCGAGTATCTTCTGGGTATATGCCTAGGAGTGGTATAGCTGGATCCTCAGGTAATGCTATGTCCAATTTTCTGAGGAACCGCCAGACTGATTTCCAAAGTGGTTGCATCATCTTGCAGTTCCACCAACAATGGAGGAGTGTTCTCTTTCTCCACACCCTTGCCTGCATCTACTATCACCTGAGTTTTTAATCTTAGCCATTCTGACTGGTGTGAGATGGAATCTCAGGGTTGTTTTGATTTGCATTTCCCTGACGACTAAGGATGCTGGACATTTCTTTAGGTGCTTCTCGGCCATTCGAGTTTCTTCCGTTGAAAATTCTTTGTTAAGCTCTATACCCCATTTTTTAATAGGGTAATTTGGTTGTCTGGAGTCTAATTTCTTGAGTTCTTTGTATATATTGGATATTAGCCCTCTATCAGATGAAGGATTGGTAAAGATCTTTTCCCAATTTGTTGGTTGTCGTTTTGTCCTATTGACAGTGTCCTTTGCCTTACAGAAGCTTTGCAATTTTATGAAGTCTCATTTGTCAATTCTTGATCTTAGAGCATATGCCATTGGAGTTCTGTTCAGGAACTTTTCCCCTGTGCCCAAGTATTCGAGGCTCTTCCCCACCTTCTCTTCTATTAGTTTCAGTGTATCTGGTTTTATGTGGAGGTCCTTTATCCACTTAGACTTGAGCTTTGTACAAGGGGATAAGAATGGATCAATTTTCATTCTTCTACATGTTGTCCTCCAGTTGAACCAGCACCATTTGTTGAAAATGCTGTCCTTTTTCCACTGGACGATACAACTGCTTTTCATGTCAGATATCTACTGTTCCCAAATGTATTTGATTTAAATCATTCTAAAATAAATATGACAGATGATTTAAAAAAAAAAAGAATGATGTCCAGTACCTGCACCTCCTCCATCAAGTTCTTTCAGAAGAAAACTTTTATTGCAACAGATCTTCATTTTCTCCTAGAAATTCCCAGTCCACCATGATGTTCATGCCTGTAATCTCTACAACTCCAGATGTTGAGACAGAAGGTGTAAGAGTTCACAGTCAGTCTCACTACATAGCAAGCTTGAGGCTAGCATGGCTTACATGTCAGCTGTCTCAACAGACCAAACCAAGTAAGCAGGTTAGTCAGCAATACTAAGTCCAAAACCCTGCTGACACTGGATCAGCATTTGCTTCAAGGTGATTTCTGGTATCCAATAAGTTCATTCTCCCAAACATTAGACATAAGATATGCAGTCTGATACTGCATATGCCCCTGTGAGCTTTTCTGTGTGGGACAGAGCAGCTCTATTTATTGTGTGTTAAACTTGTAGAGCTTTTATACACACACACACACACACACACACATTTTAGCAGCTCTTTTTGCTATTAAGTAAAATGGTAAAGCTGTCATAGTCTGGATGTGTCAATACTTTGAGGAGATTTGGGACTCATTTTGGAAGTCCTAGGATTTGGGCTAATATCTGCCACTAACTTTAAGTTTTAATTTCTAGGTTTTTTTTTTTTGTTTGCTTGTTTTATTTTTTTGTAATGAGATTGGGATGTAAATAAACCATTGTCTTTGCAGCCTGGAGTATATATATAAGGTCATTGACAGAGCAAAGGTGTTTACAAATTTTTCATTAAAATATATTAATGGCTGTCATGGTGACATGATAAATCCAGATACTGTTTTAAATGTTATTAAGTCAACCCTTTTGTGATACACCAACTGAAGCCTCTAGTTATGAACCAGATGTTTGAAAAAGTTTCAGAACTATTTAGAAATTCCCTTGTGACTATCATTATTATGTGGTCTATTTACTGACTATTTCCAGTGGTTCTCAACCTTCCTAATGCTGTGGTCCTTAATACAGTTCCTCATGCTGTGGCAACCCTGAGCCATAACATTATTTTTTTACTAATTCATAACTGTAATTTTGCTACTATTATAAATCATAACATCTATCTATCTATAATATAACTATATATAATATATATATATTATATATATATAATATAACTATTATAAATCATAACATAACAAATATCTGATATATAGGACCTGAAGGGGGTCGAAACCCACAGGTTGAGAACCACTGACTGTAGAGGGTCAGCAATTGGACTAGTGCAGCTCCTTCTCCTCCTCTTCCTCCTCCTCTTCCTCCTCCTCTTCTTTTTTCGTCTTCCTCTTCCTTTTCTCCTTCCCTCTTCCTCCTCCTCCTCCTCCTCCTCCTCCTCTTCCTCCTCCTCCTCCTTCTTTCTTCTTCCTCTTTCTTCTTCTTCTTCGAGATGTTATTTCGCTGTGTAATCCTGGCTGTCCTGAACCTTCCTGTGTAAACCAGGCTGGCCTCAATTGAAGGCATGTACTACCATACCTGGCATAGAGCTTCTATTAAAATCACTGAGAAGGCTGGAAATGGCTCAGTAGTTAAGATAACTGACTGCTCTTCCAGAGGGCTAGGTTTGATTTCTGGCACTCACATTGCTGAGCACAGCTGTCTGTACCTTGCGAGATCTAGTAGACCTAGTGCCACCTTCTGGCTTCTGTACACACCAAGCACATATGTCTCATACATATATACGTGCAGGCAAAACACTCGTATATATAAAATAATCATAAGAAATAAAGAGCTAAAAATATCAATTAAAAAAAAAAACAGCCTAGTCTAGTTGAATCAGTCAACTCCAGGGTCAGTGCAATACCTTGTCTTAAAAACTAAGGAGTCCATGCCTTCAGTCCCACAGCTCGTGAGGTAGAGGCATGTGTATCTCTGAGTTTGAGGCCAGCCAACTCTACATATTAAGACCTTGCCAGAGTTATATAGTAAAGACTTGTAAGTTAATTAATCCACTGTCCCCAGAACTGAACCAAATGCAGTCTGGTGGGGCTTTTCTAATGGTTGCATTCTGCTTCTGAAGAAGAAAAACTTGAGCAGCACACATTTCTAATAAATTTAGGCTTTTTGTCTTAAAAAAAAATCTGCTTTTTTCACAGAGTACTATTCCACTGTGTGTATGTATGTATTCCACTGTATGTATGTATGTACCACATTTTCTCCATCAGTCCATCCAGCGGTAGTCAGTAGGCCATTTCTGTAGCCTGGCTGTTCATGGCTGTGCTACAGTGAGCTTGGAGCACGTGACACCTGTTTGAAATCTTGATTTCAGTTCCTTTTGGTACTTGGATGGTCTTGAATGATAATGATGTGCTCATAATTACATTTTGACCCCAAATCTACCAGTTGTATACTGAAATATTAATTGATTGATTTTCATTGAAACAGTGTCTCATATAAGCCCAGGTTGGTCTTGAACTCACTGTGTAGCTGAGGATAATCTTAACCTCTTAATCTTAATTCTCTGTCTATCACCTTCCAAGTACTGTGTTACAGGGTGTGCCACCATGTATAGATGTACAAATACTGATGGAAAAGAAAGGTTATTGATACATCTTTAGTATATTTGACCATAATCTATTTTATAATGTATATAATTAAGTAGACATTTATTCAGGCAATACAAACTCTTCAAGTTCTTATTTGGTCCACCTTTTGGAATAAAACTCTCCTGTGAGGGTTCATTCTGTCTGCTCTCCTTGAGCAGGGCTGATGGGAGAACTTGGCACAATGTAGGTCTGAATCTTGGGTTGGCCTTTGGAAGATAGGGCACGTGTTCCTCGTCTGTCAACGATGGGTGTAGGTATGTATTTCCTGAGGTGGTTTGCTGTACCCATTGTATAATGTGTAATATATGATTGTTCTTAGTGGAAAAAGTCACATCTTGTATATTTAGGTGATAAACAGCAAGTGATCACCTGGAAGGTATTAATATGGTATTTTATTAGGAAAGCAGTGTTTTACAAGTGATAGAATGAAGATGCTTCTAGTAACTACCTGACTTCAGGAAATGTCTGTGTGCCTTAACCATATCCCAGATGTCTGCATGGTCTTTGAAGTACTTGGTCACCATCTCCTCAAATGGATCATCAAATCCAACTATCAAGGCCTCCCAGTACGTTGTGTGAAGAGTATCATTCGACAGGTGAGACTTCAGAAAGAAACTCACGCCTTAGAGAGAGCAATCCTGTCTCTAGTAGCAGTTTGGTTGCCTTTCGGTGTGTATCCAGTTTATAGTGAAGGAATTAATAAGCAAAAGAAAACAGCATGTGCACATCTGCTGTACACTTTTTTGGCATATCAGCCTTTTTAAAGATGAGTAATGTATATCCATGCATTAATAATAATAATCAGAAATTATTGCATTCAGTATATTTACTGGAAAACATCCACTTAGTTCTTGGGAACTTAATTAAAAAAGAGCAATTGATTACGTTGTTTTGTGGAGTTTGTTTGTTTGTTTGTTTTGCTGTTTGAAGTACCACAGATAGAATAAGCTAAAGGGGAGTGGTCCTGAGGACCTGGCTACAGTATGGGGACCGTGGCTAACAACTGCGTTACATCCTCTGAGACCTGATCCTCATCTCCATACAAGAAAGTTTGACTCAATGGATAGACCAGTTAGTTGTTTGTGTAACTATTACATAGTGTACCTGTATAGAAGGATAACAGGTATCAAATAATAAATGTCTTTAGCATGTATTGTCAGTTGTATGTGGGTAATCTTAGAGGTAACCTTGGATCACGAGAACATGAGCTCTAGAAAAAGAAGGTAACTTTTTTTTTTAATTTGGAACATGATAATTGAACATGACATACATTCCATAGGAAATATCATGAGATTGGTACTTTGATTGTCTTACCAAATGAGACCTTTTATCGAGGGAGTGGTTTAGACAAGTATTCTAATAAATACCTGTAGGATGAAAGTGTGTATAGATAGAAGACGCTTCCAACTAGTGTTGCTTGCCAGAGTTAGATTTTGCCATTGGGCATATTAAGCCTGCACAGTATTTGTGGCCTGTACTGCCCAATTTAAGAAAGTTACAGATGGGGCTGGTGAGATGGCTCAGCGGTTAAGAGCACTGACTGCTCTTCTAGAGGTCATGAGTTCAAATCCCAGCAACCACATGGTGGCTCAGAACCATCTACAATGAGATCTGATGCCCTCATATGGGTGTCTGAAGACAGCTACAGTGTACTTACATATAATAAATAAATAAATCTTTAAAAAAAAAAAAGAAAGTTACAGATGTTGTTTAATTATCTGTTACGATCTTGTGGGTTAGCGTGGGTAAGGCTGGGATTACTGGTGAGGTTGCTTCATTTTGTTTGTATGAAAGGTTAAGAGTCTTTTCTCAGTCACCAGGTTCAAAACTTATATTAGGCCTCCCAAGGGGTTCCAGCCACAAAAGAACTGTATGTGTGTGTGTGTGTGTGTTGCACATATATACCCATGTCTTAGTTTTCTATTGTGACAAAACATGACCACACCACTTAAAAAAAATAAAGGCTTTAATTGTTGGGTTCATGGTTCCAATAAGAGAGACTGTGCCTATCATAGTGGGGAGCGTGGCAGCTTGCCGGAGCAGCAGCTTAGAACTTACATCTGATCCACAAGCGTGAGGCAGACAAAGGTTGGGTAGGTGGGTGGGAGGAGGGAGAGGAAATAGGAGAAGGAGAGAGTTCTCAAAGCCCACCACCAGTGACACACCTCTTTCCACAAGGCCACACATCCTAATCCTTCCCAGTCATTTTCACCATTTGCTGACTAGACATTCAAATCTATGAGCCTATGGGGTCCATTCTTATTCAAACTACTGCAGCATGTGTGTGCTTACCTGTGCTGGTACTTTTGGTAGCCGGAGACTGGTGATGGGTGCTCTCTTCCTCAATCACTTCTTTACCTTAGTTTTTGAGAGACCTTTTACTGAACCTGAAGCTTACTGCTTTGAACAGACTGGCTGGCCAGAAGGTCTCTGGGATCTACTGGTCTCTCGGTGTCAGTGCTGAGGTTCCATATCCAGCTTTGTGTGGGTAGTGAGCATTCAGACTCAGATCCTCATGCTTACTTAGTAAGACTTTTGCCCAGCCATCGTCCAAGATCAATCAATCAAGATTCCCCCCCCACTTCCACTGTCTGTGTGTGTTGTTGTTGTTGTTGTTGTTGTTTGACACAAGGTTTCACACTATATAGCCCTGACTTGGTCTGAAACATTTTATGAAGACAAGGCTGGCTTCATACTTAGAGATGTACTTGCCTCTGTCTCCTAAGTGCTGAGACTAAAGGCCATTATCATGCTCAGTCCTCAGAACTCTTAAATAGGAAGAGAATTATGGGCTAGTGAGATGCCTTGTAGTGAATTCTCGTGCCTCCAAGCCTGATGACCAGAGTTCAATCCCCAGGTCTCTCTCTCTCTCTCTCTCTCTCTCTCATAGTGGAAGGAGATACTTCTGTCAGCTGTCCTCTAGCCTGTACACATTTGCCTTGTACACACATGCATGTGTGCCCATGTGTGCATGTCTGTCTCTCTCTCTGTGAATATAATAAGAGAAAACACAATGATTCTCACAGATTTGTTAATTGAGAGATAGTGGCTTCAGAAAAGACCTTCCTTACCAGTGTAGAAAGTTTGTGCTTATGCGACTGTACATGATTGTGTTTTTTAAATCCATTTTATAAAATCTGTAGATTTTAAATGTGTGTAGTGAAAGCATCCTAGATTGTGTGTAGCCGTCTCCTCACATTGTCCTCCCATGTTACACATTGGCAGTGCCTTTTGTTATTATATTACAGATGTTACTTAACTCAGGAGTTGGAAGAAATGCCACGTGGTTAAAAGAAATGGCACATGGCAGTTCACAGCCACTGTGTTTCTCCAGTTCCAGAGGATCTAACACCCTCTGCTGACCTCCATGGTCAGTATGCACATGTACACATACATACATTGTGGCACACAACACATGCACATAAATAAATATTTTTTAAAAGATGGGGATACAAAGTGAAAGGAAAGGCCATTTGCACTGTTTTATCTTAAGTGGATTGAGTATTTCTGCTTGGAGTGAGGCTGGGGCACATACTTGCCAACTCTAAGACTTGTGGCTTTTCTGTATTGTTCCCCTTTAGAGAAGTGCAGTTTACACCATCCTAACAAACAGCACTATGTCTTTAGTGTAGAAGAGGATACACAGCAATGGTGAAATTGCATATGTTAATTCATGCACTTCCTCTGCCGTCACCTGTCATGTTTGTAACTTTTAGTGACAAATCTAAAGCTTTTTAAAAATAATCTTATTGAAACAGATGAAGTATCTTGTAATTATCTGGGATCAATCATGAACTATTAAAGACTAAGCATGTAATTTGTGCCATTTGATGGTGGCACATACTTTGGAGGGAGGTCTACAGAGTAAGTTCCAGGGCTACACAGAGAAACCCTGTCTCAGAAAACAAACAAGTAACAACAAAAAGGCCAAAACAAAGAGCACTCGTAATTTGTTATATTTTATATGTGTTGTATAGTCATGTATCATCTGTTCCTATGTATGTGTATGTATGTATGCATGTATATTGGAGGCCAGATATTGGTTGTCTTTGATGATTATTATATACCATATTTTCCTATTTTATTTTTAAATGCAATTTCATAGACTTAAATAATAAATTTTAGACATTTTCACCTCCTATTTTTTTCTCTCCCTGCTGAGAGAAACACCTTTTTTGAAGGGGTTTACTTTTTTTTTGAGTTGGGACAAGGTATTAGTATATGATTTCTCCTGGCCTGGGACTCAAGAGATGTGCCTGCCTCTGCTTTCTGAGTGCTGGGATTAAGGGCATGCCCCAACACGCCTGCTTGTTCTACTTTATTTTCTGAGACAAGATCACCCTTTCATTAAATGTGGAGCTCGCTTAGCTGACCAGCAGGTTCTAGGACTGCCCCTTAGGATCACAAGTGTGCATCCCCTTGCCCAGCCTTTTACCTGGATGCTGGGGATCTGACCTCAGGTCTGCATGCTTTTACTGTACACACTTTACCCACTGAGCTGTTTTTCACAGCCTTGATTTACATATTTAACTTAAATAATTCATTCAGTTCACAGAGGTTCTGTCATTCCCTAAATCTGTGCTTTCCAAGATGTCTTTTGCTGCCATAGGTGATTGGCAGCACCACTGCCATTCAGGCTTAGCTGTATAAGAAGGCGGCTTTGTTGGTTAAGCCATTGAAGCTTGAATTATATTCTACAGTGGGAAAATGCTATATAAATTGTAAGGTAAAATTCTGAGAGTTTACTGGAACTTCTGTGTTGTAAATGCTTTGTATAAATCATTGATTTCAACACTGCTTGCCTCAATGAATTCTTTGTAGAGAATGAGACAGAGCTCTGGAGCTGGTAGCAGCTGTAGAGGGGGGCTGTAGGGGGGCTGTGGGGGCTGGGGGGGCTGGGGGGCGGGGAGCAGCTATGGGAATGGTGGCTGTCCAGGGTAGGGGTGGTGTTGTTTCTGTGTTTTTGTGCTTGTTGGCCTTTGTAAGCCACTATTGTATTAGCAGTAAGATGTGAATAATAATGGTGCTGTCCTCATTAGATTAGCATGAAGATGAACATCCTACTAGTAGTGTTACTGTGACCCAGGCATAGGTCTAAGTACTTGGCATACTTTAATGCTCTGAAGCCTTATAACAACTCTATAAAATATAGATTTCTTGATTTCATAGAATTGAAAACAGAGATATAGAGCTTTGTAATTTTCCCTAAATTGGGAAGTAAATAAAATAATAGTGACTAGTGCTAGAGCGATGGCTTGATGGTTAAGAGACACTCCACACTCTTGCAGAGGATCCTAGTTCAGTTCCCAGCACCCACACTGGGGTAGGGGCTCACAGCTGCCTGTAACTCCAGCTCCAGGGTTTCTGATACCCTCTTTTGTCCTCCACTGGGACTTGCACACACATGAAATATACTCATACACGTAAAATCTACGACTGATGATGATGATGATGATGATGATGATGATGATGATGATGATAATAATAATAATAATAATAGGGGAAGCAGAGGAGCAAGAAGTGAAACCTGAACAGTTTTGTTTCCTAAGTGATAAAATGATGTTAGAAACTGTGCTCAGCCTGTGTCCAGTTGAAG